CATTCTGTCATTATTGTTTTGATATTGGCTTTCAGATTTTGGAGTTCGAGTTTTACTATGAACATATTCGCTAGGATTCAGATACATCTAAGTTATGAGTTTCAAATGGGGCGAAACTTGTATGCTAAACACAAATACCAGCTATTATTCAAATGCACTTAAAACTAACATTCTTTACTTATCTCCTTCTATTTCTCCGTTTTTAAAAATTCTTAAAATCTTAACTTTGAAGCAACTCATGGAATCGTTTATTTAATAATTGTTATAAAATTGTAATCATTTGCTAAACCACTTATCGACTAATATAAAGCAACCCACTCTTTTCTCGTCATTCGTATTTTTTATCGTATCAACAAATCGTGATCGGTTTATTTTATGAAATGGTAACCGAAAACTAAATGCCAATACAGTAATGTCACATATGAAAAGTACATTGTTCATTCTTACTGATCTTTCTGGATTGTGCTAATTTTTTATCAGAACAATAATAATATACTGGTGTGTTGTTTATAATGCCCAAAAGATAGGTAATATTCTCATACAGAAGTAAACTTTTTTCCAATAGCTTAAAACATTATTACAAATATAATTTGTCAGTTTAGATAAATAACACATAGAACTATTACGTAATAAATAACAAAATTGCAAAAGACTATTACTTATTGATTAACAGCGTATAATGTGCTGTTGTAAATTATAATTACCAATGGATATTTTACATTTCTGATGTTTAGACATATACTAACATACTTATCAACTGAATAACGATTAAGAGCATTTCATTGACATATTACACAAAAATTATATAGAAAGTATTTGAAGAATTATTTACAGCTTTGTTAACATCATAAAAACTAAATGATCGATAATTGAATAAATAAATTTTCTTACGAAACCAATATCAGTTAGTATTAAAAACGTAATTATGAACTTCGAAATATTTGTGTTAGGTACATACATGCATCTCAGAGTTGTAGTTCAATCCGTGCCTTGAAATCAATACCGTTCGCTTCAAACGCCAACGCGTTATCCACTTTGCTACTGAGCTCTGATAGCTTCAAGTAGCACGAAACGCTCGTCCTAGATTCCACTGCTAGCTGTCATCCATTTTTGCTTATAATGCTTATGACTGAAGGGAATATCGAGGCAATCCGTACAGGATGCACATATGCCAATATGAGACTGATCGATTGCAGTCCTAAACATCAATGCGAAGTTTCAAACAAACCATACAAAGTGAATTCGAGTAAATTATTTAGTTGATTACTGTTACGGATTTACAAACTTTAACCGACCCTGTTCGCAACGTTTTCTGTTTTCTGATACCTTTTTAGTTGATATTAGTATGTCACAAAAACTAACTTTCATTGAAATAAATCTTCATACTTTACCTATTTTATTATATTAAGTTTTATTCAGTACTAAACACTGTTACCTTCTACATTTCTGAATATGAATTTTTACTGAATTCATTTTAATAAATTTTGTTGATGTTTGGATTTTCCAAAAAAAATTACAGACTTTCATAACAGCTTTAATTGTATCATCAAGATATGATATCATTCTAATCACGGAACAGATGTTATACTACTAGTGATTTTACTGCCTATTTGTATGTATATTGGATATAATAGATATCTGTGAATTTATCTTAAGTTGAACAGCTGTCGTAATTTTAGTCTATAGATAAGTGAACGTTATTTTTACATTAAAACCATCAAATTTAATTTCCAATGGTTTCAGTGCCGTGAGACTATCTTAAAGATGTTTCGCTGAATGAAATATATTTGCTGAAGTGATTATTTTTTTCTAAATTTTTAATAAATGTAATAAATGGTTTACGTAGCCTTTAATAAACTCCATTTATCCATTATAAACAACCAAGTGAACAGACGATCATTTGTAATGCAAGATGCATGTTTACTAGAAGAGGAATCCAAGACTTGTTTGTGACTAATCAGCTGGTTGTACCCGAATACCAAAGTGATGTCCAATCCGGGAGTCGAAACTGTTACTGCTCTTTCCAAATGACATAGCTATATTCTCTTAGGCAATAAGTCGGGATAGAAGGTGTTATATTTGGTCGTTGCAATTGCTGTGCCGGAAAAACGATAATCACTCATACTCAGAACGAGGGACCTCTGCAATTCCCACTACGCGAAAGTAAGAACACAAAGACTGGTATAAGTGAAGATTTATTAGCCCCAAAACACGACGACGACGACGACAATGATAATAATAATGAATCACAATAGTCTAAAATATACTGAATTATATACTTATTGTGCACCCATTTTGATGAATAATTAGGATTAAATCACATACTCAGTTATAACAAATCACTTACTGAGCATAGTTCATGTCAGCTGAATGCAAGAATATCCTATATTATTCAGAAGGAAATATCATACTGGGAAAACAAATCAAATACTACACTGATTGATTATCACATTGAATTAGAAGGGAAGTAATGTTGAACAAAACTCATAATGAGTAAATCAATCGAAAATTGACTTTTCTTTTCATCATATCAAAGGGTGAACATCAACTCTTGACGAAACTCTCGTCTCTGATTCTATTGCTAGCCCCCATCCATCTCTGCTTAAAATGTTTGCGACTTACTAGCAATATTGAGGCAATCCACACCAGATGTACTCATACCAAGAAGAAACTGATCAATTGCAGGCTTAAACGTCAGTGGTAAGATTCAAACAACCAATATAGACGATCATTTGTTTCTCGTAGCAAAATGATCATTTAATTTAACTAAATTTTACCGATTACCAGACAATATCTAAGGGAACTGTGAATAGATTACTAGTTTCAAAGTGTAATTTTCAAATGTTATTCATTTTTATAGACATTATTGTTTTGTTATATCAAACACTTATTCATTTATCAGAATGGGTTTTGTGGATATTTTTAGAAATTTCACTTGTTGAAATCATGAGTCAACTGAAGCTAGACCACCATGGAAAACCTGGAAGCACTAGGCGGCCGTTTCGTCCCAGTATAAGACCACTCAGCAGTGCGCATTCACGACCTCGCACACCGCGGGATTCGAGCCCAACTTTGTGGATTGGTTGAAGTTAGACATTAACACCATTGGATGTCGGCTCAATGGTCTAGTTGGTTAAGCGCCTGGTGCGAGACTGATAGGTCCTGGGTCCGAATCTCGCGTGGTGCGAGACCGTGGATGTGCACTGCTGAGGAGTCCCATACTAGTACGAAACGGCCATCCAGTGCTTCCAGGTTTTCCATGGTAGTCTGCTTTCAATTGACTCATAATTTCAACAAGTGAAGCTTATTTGTTTGCGAAAAAATAATAAAACTTTATTTCCAAGTAAAATGTGTTTTTGATTTCCAAGTAACTTCTTGATCATCATCTTGAAAAGGTTAATTACTAATTAGGATTTAATTAAGAACAAGCATATCATCAAAAGAAGTTCATTTCAATTTTATTCATGTTGTATAACACTTGTTAATAAAATTGAATTAATCGTTGGTTGAAATTGTTTTAACATTGGAATTATGTAATAAATTTCAATTTGCTTTTTGAAAAATAATCACTGACACTGCGATGTACTAAGAAGACAATCGGGGTTTCTTTCTTCATTTCATAAAACAATTTAACAATTTGATTAAACTAAATTAAATAATTATGAGTCAAATTATAGAGAGAATTATTTAAGAGTACATAAATGATTGTGTTCTTTGGACAGTTTTATTAGGATAAATACAATGGAAACAAGCTTTAAATCTGTCAATAACTAAGAGCTATTTTAATCCTATTTTTTAATGGAAAGTAACTGTTGTAAATTTATATAAACTATAAAGAAGATATTACTGCCCAATAAATTATTTTTCCAAAATAATGTAACATGACATTCAATTAATTCACTATAAGCAATTACATTTTAAACGTTTTAAGCTAGATTTTATAATAAATAATGTATCTTGTTTAATATTCTGAATGCAAACATAACGGTATGGGAATATAACACATATATATCATAGCTGTTAGTTTATATTCACTGTAATCTACTTTACAGACAAGTCTGAAGATTTATTATTCATTCATTTATCATGATTTTAAAAGCTGTCTTAATGCTTCCCTACTAAGAAAAGTATATAATTGTTTTATTATTAACATTCTACTCGATCATTATAAGTAGAGATAGATGTTGACTAGCACGAAAATTCAGGACACGGGTTTCATTCTATATGTGACTCGTCAACCCAATGCTTAATCTGTTCGAAATTCTCAAGTCTAACCTTGTGAATGATACCGATAATGTTAGTAAACATTCAACGGTATAATTCAGATTTCTACAATATTTCACAGGTTGAAATCATGAGTCAATTGAAGCTAGACCACCATTGAAAACCTGGAAGCACTGGACGACCGTTTCGTTCTAGTATGGGACTCCTCAGCAGTGCGCATCCACGATCCCGCACCACGCGGGGCTCAAACCCAGGACCTACTGGCTTCGCGCGCGAGCACTTAACCATTAGACCACTGAGCCGGCATCCAACGGTGTTAATGTCTAACTTCAACCAATCCACGAAGTTGCGCCATCGAACACCATTGTCTTCAGTGAGCTGATATCTCACAACAGACCTGGTTGAACGGCCGTCCAGTGCTTTCAGGTTTTCAATGGTGGTCTAGCTTCAACTGTCTCATGATTTCAACCTGTGAAATTTCCTAAAATTCTCCACAAAACTCATTCTAATTTCTGCAATATGTTATAATTTTAAATAAGTGTTTTTTTGAGAAAAATATGTTAGCTGAATATATAAACGTAATGTTTATTCAAAAGGTGGAATATTTAATGTTATATACAATTATCGTATCCATTTTATCATTTTATTTCATAATTCTTGGCCTCAATTAAACTAAACATTTTACAGCATATTATTCTCTTAAATTCATTAATGAATATTATATTCCAAACTATTTCCTTTTCCACTATTATTTTCTTATTTTTCTATTTCAACAGGTATCTCATCAATTGTACATCATTTCGATATATCCATACCTGATTCATATAAATCTTTATTATTAAAATTATACAAAGCTTATGAATTTACACGACGTTTAGATGTCATTTTTATACGTTTTCTTATTATGTTAAAAAATATATGTTTTAATGAATATAACAAATGTATGAAAAATTGGAATGATACATTACAACAAACTAATGATAATCATTCTATTCAAGAACAAACAAACATAATTGATAATAATATAAATCAAATTACATATTACTATCAACAATCTATATATATTGAATTATTATTTATTCATTATGAAAATCTTATCAAATGTTTTACAAATTTAACGGATATTGTTTTTAATAATATCATTTATTGTATATTATATTGGTTCGGTTATACAAATAATTATGTAAATGATGAAATATTGAAAGAATTTAAACAATTATTTAATCCAATGAATTCATATTTTCTGTCAAATTTAACATCGCCTTCATCATCAAGATTATCAGTAGATACAACATCTACAATATCAAATAGTAATTTTGATGATTTAATTGAAATTAAAACAAACTTATTAAATGTAGACAGAAATGTTCTAATACGATTAGCACGTGTAATAGGAACATTAAGTCAAGTGAATAATTTATTGATATCATTAGATAAGAATATTAAGGTAAGTTTGATTTTGTGAAGTATACATTTTTATTGGTTGTTTAAACATTTTATGAATATAGATTGAAAACTATGGGCTATAATGTGACACTTGGTATATTTTATACAGGAAGACACAGTCTGTACATAATATGGACAAATCTTACGTAGAGTATTTGCTGATAGTATTGTTTAGAATAATGATAAAAAGCTTCATAATTAAGCCATTGATCACAGGGAACGTAACACATTTAAAAGCATTCACTTAAGCTACAAATCTTTCATTTCTGTTATTTTTCGCTTATAAAGGATTACTAACTACTGAAGTCTATTCGGAAACGACGTCATTCTCACAGAAATGTTGTTTTTTTAAATTACTGAAAAAATGTAAAGAGTTATTCTTCGCTTTCAATTGTTTTCATTCAAACTGAAATCATATTTTCAATATTTTATTTATGAACTAGGTTCATATTATTCTCTGTTGCTCTCCGATTAAAACTTCCCACCGCATTAAATTGCACTAAAAAAGGATATAGAAACTGGTTATTGTTCTTGATAGAAGGAAAATATTTTTTTAGTATATAAGTGAAAACAAAGTTTTCACGGTACCAATTAAGTGAAAAATGTACACAACATTAATTGGACTTCACAGTTTTCAGTTCCTATTTCAACATGTGAAAAAATATGGATCTTATTCTATAGGATTACCGATATTCATATCAGACAACTCATAGATGGTTATTTTAAATTTCAAACATAAAATAGTCTGAATTGCTATCTGATGATAACATTAGTCATCTTATTAATTAAATAGATGTTATTATGAGTGGCGATTTGGTTCATTTTATTACTAATTATTTGATTGCGATATCATTTATGATGTGAAAAATATATGAAGGTTTGTGATTGGAACTCTCTACAGGGCTACTAATTTTAAAGTATCATTTTATTCGAAGTTATCATATTTAGTTTTTCATGATGTAACTTAAATTATTTACCCCATAAATTGAAAAAGGACAGTTTTTTTAAAGATACCTGTAAGAGTAAGTAACTCATCACTCAAAATTACGACCAAGTCTCATGATAAACTGATTGCTAATCTTAAAAGTGAAATTTCTGAAGATTTTAAGTAATCATTTATCATGTTTCATAGCTTATCAGACTTTCGAGATGGTCAGTTTGCTTGAGTAGTAAAATAAAAGATCTCTGAATAGAAGTAACGTCACATTTGTAAATTTATGTTGGAATACACTTTTTTTGTGACCAACATTAGTTCCTAATGTCAACATCCCTAATTCTATGTCATGTAATATAATGCGTTTTATGCACATTTTATTGTAATTGGAGATAATTTTATCATTTGTGTGGTATTTTTATATATAAAAATCATTACGTTGTGTCAGAAAATTTCTTATATCACTAAACTAGTTTAAAACAAATTCGATTGGTGAAATCCAGGACACGCGCTTTGTTCTAATTAGGACTGCTCAAATGGACGTATTTACTTCCAAAAGTTGATGTATACACTGAAGTTTGAATCGGATACCTATCTTCTCAAAATGCGATACTTTATCCAGATAGATAGCTACCAACGTGTGCATAGTAAACTTACGAAGTCTTATAAATCATGTTCATGTCATTTGCACAAGCCAGTGACTATCTAAACTCAGTAGCCTGATGGATAGGGCGTCGATGTCTAAATAGCAGGACACTCCGCTAGAATCAATGTGACTAACAATATAATAAAAACAGCATCTCAGACGCAGTTCAAATAAATAAACGTGAATAGACGGCAGCGTTGAAGTAAATATTTTAAATACTTAGAAAGACTAATGTGTTGCAGTCCTTGATATCATGAGGAGAGAAAAATTTCTCACGCATGAAAACATTGATGTACTTTTTGTCGTAATCCTAACATGGAAATAAATGAAGACAGTAATTTTATGATGCATTTCCTGAAGGTACGTTTAAATATCAGTTGGTTTTTGTCACGAACTTACACCAGTTGCAGAAACTTTAAAGATACAAGCAGATGTTATGTTTTTTTTAAATTATCGTACAAATAATCTTCAGATGATAGTGTTGAAATTCCCAAATCAACAACACTGTGAATATCAGTTTATTTAATTTACTGTCTCACTATTTTCATTGTAAAGTCATGCATTCCCCATTTTTCCTGAAGAGTTTTAAACTAGGATATAACATTTATCAACTTTTTCCTTCATTCAGTATTCCTTCATTGATTATCGATGCGTAATGATAATAAACTATTTTTTGAAATATTTTATTGATATATTAGGATGTCTGTCTTATTACAAACAAACTATTATTCTGATAGAACCATAAAAGTGTCGATATATATTGTTCTATTATCTTATTAATTAGAAATAACTGCAAACTAACAAAATTGTTTGATTGAATTATTACTCAAAGCAATCATGATTACAGTATGTAATTATTGAGATTCTATTATACGAGACTTTATACGCTTTTTGTTAACATATAAGTTAAAACCAAAGCGATGCTCAATGTTCAGTTTAGCATTTAAGTAAAATATTAATCATAGTAACTGATTTATTTATCAGTAGAAAAAATGACCGGTTTTTTTGTTATAAATTTTATTGATGGAAATATAGAAAACAGTTCTGTGAATCAAATTCAAATTAGTTTCTTAATTCTTACTCACTTACTTACGCCTGTTACTCCTCATGAAGGAACATAGGCCGCTCACCAGCATTCGCCAGTTTGCTGTAAACTAGTATCATTTGTAAAACGGTCGACAATCGGAAAGCAGTCGTCATCTTTTTATCTTACTAAGTACTCAAATCTACACTGAATCAATCACAACACTTTGATATGTTTGGAAAAGAAAATTACCTATTAAATATTTGTCTGAGGTTTGATGGTCAACAATGCATGGTTTAGCATGCTACAACATTCTATATCGTTGATAAGTGACAATTTTACTCACAGTATAATAGTTTATCCCCCACATCTTCATTTCTAAGACGTTAATGTCATCCTGTAACTATTCTTCAGCTAGTGTCATCGGATAAGTGTAATTATTAAGTTTTATATTTGCTAAATTATCATAAATTAATAACTACTAAATAGAAAAATATTTTTCATATGCTCCTATCTGTAAGTTCAATGAATTCTTTATTTCCAACAGTTGAGATCATGAGTCAATTGATACTAGACCACCATATAAAACCTTGAAGAACTGGAGGGTTGTTTCGTCCTATTCTGGGACTCTTCAGCGTTGCGCATCCACGACCCCACCTCGCGGGATTCGAACCCAGGACCTATCAGCGTCTTCATTCATGATTATTCTAATCATTTGCACTAAAACACCTATTGATTTAATATTCTTGATATAGATGTCTCAAAATATATTAAATAAACGTTGGATACTTAATGATAATGAATTTCTTCATTAAAATCGTTAAATAAATTATTTGTTGGGAAAAAAATTTAGAATTTTTCTAAACATTGCAAATTTCCTAAATTTTTTTTTCCTTACAGGAATGGAAAGAAACTTTAAGAAAGACATTTTCACAGATAATGAATAAACTTATCAACAAATACATTCTTAATTATCATAATGAAATACTATGTAATTTCCAAATTGAAAATAATGATTTAATTAATCTATTGACCATATTTCTTAAACCAATTAATAAAACAATTGGAACTTGTTTTAATTCACCTACAGAAAGAATAATTTCAATTGAAAATTCATCAATAATATGTGATTATCATCATAATGTGTATTATTATATAATTCAACCAACAGTTATTCAATTTTTTCATAGATTATCAATATTATTAAAAGAGACATCTATAAAGTAAGTAAAATATATTATTTAAAATTCTATAATGTTTTAAACGGAAGAAATAAAGTTCAGTATAGGGTTGCGAAGATTGTTGAGTTTTATTTCAGATAATGAACCGATCAATGTTAGACCACCATTGAAAACTTGAAAGCACTTGACAGCTGTTTTATCCTAGTGTGGGACTTCTCAACAGTGCGCATCCATACTAGGACGAAATGGTCATTCAGTGCTTCCAAGTTTTTAATGCTGGTCTTACATTGATCGCTTGATGAACACAATCATAACTTAACGATCTGATCATTGTTATATGCTCACTGGTGACTAGCTTCGAGAGACTATTCTCAGAGTCCTAGTCGGATGCTGTGACAATTGGAGTTCAACCGTGTCAGGTGTGGAGCAGTTATCGAAGTTAATGAAATATGATCGCGCAATATCGTGGATTCGTTAAAGTCAAGCATTAACACCATTGGATTGCGGTTCAGTGGTTTAAAGTCTAAGCGTTCGCGTGCGAGATCGAATGTCCTGTGTTCGAGTCCCTTTGTTGCGGTATCGTAGATGCGTTTCCCCGAAAAGTTCTATATTAGAGTGAAATGGCCCTCTAGTGGTTCCAGGTTACCAATGATGGTCTAATATTGATCAGTCCATGATTTGAAGGGAAATAAACATTTAATTAACTATGTCTATTCAATTTGTTTAATTAATTAATTACTTTTATTAATTAATTAATTCCTAGTGTAGAATAATCAATTATACAAATAAATTTGTCAACTATGAAATTCTAATCGAGTTAATAATTATTTATTAATGAGTAAACGTTCAGCAATTTCATAAATAATATGTGTAATATATGTGTCCAAGTTGCTTTATCATTCACCAGTACTAGTTATTTAGAAGTGTTTCGTATTAATTACTTAAAATCTTTTAAGTGAAAATAATGTAGTTCTTAATTTATAATGACATTGTGTCATTCACCACTTATGTATATAGATAAAAGTATCATGTTGCAGGAATAGGAATTGAAATGCTTACCGTTAGAATATTGAGATAAAGAGAACGGGAAGCAAAACACCTAGCAATCGGAATAATAAAATAATTAGAAAAATATTGGAGTATGTAAAGGATAACCGAAGGAAGAAGTTCAAATTATATAATTAATATATGATTTCCATATTTTACAAAGGCACTATGCGATTTTCCATAAAACAATAAATTGATTTACAGTACCTGAGTTTTCATTCACCATAGCATTTATTTTAGAAAAAGATCATTGTGAAGTTTGTTAATATACTTAATAATTAGTTTTGAAGGTTTGTAAAGAGTTTTTTCATGAAAAGTTTATATCACATATCAAATTTAGATAAGTAAATAGGACACATCAAGGAAGACGGAGTAATTGTTTTTTCAAAAGCGGGACATAGAATTATGCACCGACTACTTGCTTCGAAATGAAACCGAAATTTATAAAGTCACGTGGCAAGCTCACCCCTCTTGAATTATAAATGAATTGAAATTCAGTTGTCAACAAATTCAACTATGAATACATAACAAAGAGTAACTTTTTCGAAAAGCTTACTCAGATGACAAAACTCGCTTCAGATTTAATGACAAAAAGTTCAATGTATCGTAACCAATGCATGTATGTGCCTGGTCCTACGTTGTAACTGACTAACTCAATAAATATTGATTCGGTAGTTGCTTTACCTAATGTCATACTTTTTATTAAAATTAGAAAATAAACAGGGTTGATTCTTGTTTAATTCTACCTTTTAGTTTGCAGTTATACTTTGTAGACTGGATTAATCTTGTTGAAAATGTCATGTCATAATAAAATATGCAAAGTTGACTGATTTAAATATGATATCAGTGTAGCATAGTATAAAGACCATTTTATTGGACAACATCATAATTTAAATATAATTTTTGATTGATTCTTTTTTCAGTTAAACGCTTGCTTATTAAAAATTAAAATATTTAGTGTTTTCTTCCTATAAAATTCGAATTATTAGTTTGGAAAAATAAGATTTTTTAGTTGATGGTAGTGTAGTGAAGGAGAACACAGGTGAGGACAACCGAATTATATTTAACACAACATTACAGAGTTACTTGGTAAAATAGAAAAACCATACTATAATATCTAATTCGCAAAATGTTCAATAACTGTCTTGGACTTCCTTGCTCTTGTATTTCTATACTAATTGCTTTCTATTCTTGTTCTTCCTTTCTTGATCTTCTCAATCATCTGCTGACAGACATTACATTCCTGACTCACGTTATATACTACTAGTGTCAACATAGCACCACAGTAGGTGTATTCTTCTCATTGGTTGTAACGAATATGTCTTTTAAAGGATATTATAGATTTTTTTCTCGGCTTATTGTTAATGGCATGAACTGCGATTAGACTTTGATTTTTTAATGATATACATCAAGTGGAACATTCAGACAACCAATGCAAATGAATTAATAATCACCTCATTTCAAAAGTCAATGGTTATGTGAAAAAGGCATTGGGCGTCTGAAGCGAAAAACAACCAGGATTTGAGTACCGGTGTGACATTTACGACTGAGCTGTAGGTATATCCAGATGATAGGTCCTAAATGTAGCAAAACACGCTTTCTTGATTTCACTACCAGCAACCACTTAAATCTGCTTATAAAATGCATGTAACAATAACATTATTGAGGCGACCTGTGTGAATGAACGTATACCGATTGCACCCCTAAACATCGAGGGGAAAATCCAAACAATCAATACGAACAACTTAGTATACAGATTGGTTTACTCTACTTTTTACTGAATATCTGCTATTTGGGTTTACTTTATAAATTAAGGTAATTATAATTTGTCCGATCATTATGGTTACAAGTAACTAATGCTTGTTCCTTTCATAAAACTATTTACGTTTCATCCAATTTTAACAAGCTAGGCACTAATCAGCAAGAACCTTCATGTTGTCTATTTTTGGAGATGATCGAATATACTGAGTCAATTTGGCTAATGTAGTGATTGACTTCTCCACGTGAATAAATTCACGTGAGCACAGATCCTAATCATTCAGCTTGAGACAAGTATTATCAATGCTGTTGAATTACGGTCATATAATATTGCTAGTAGATTGAATTTAGAAATTTGTACGTCATTAAATACTAACTCAATTATCTGAATGTTACGATTTCAATGAGAGCTCCAAAGGTTGGTGGTTCAGCTATAGCCAGGGTAGTGAACACACTGTGAAACCATCTAATACTAGAATCAAATAGCTGCTCGTTACTTCGAGGTTATCAATAAGTGCCTAATTAAATTTAATCCGTGATGTGAAACTACAAATTCAATAGTATTCATGGCTCATCTATACTAATAAACTCATCAAGGTTATTATATTTTAAAAGAATTCTTACTCATTGCTATATGATGCAAAATACATTCGATTTCTGTTAAATTAACATTTATAATAGTTTATCAGCCACAAAGTAAACAATTTTTCGGTTAGCAGTTTTTCTATTGATCAAGCATTGGTTTTTATCAGCTATTATTCTAATTTGTCCAATAATAAATGGAAAATATATTTTCATTAAGATTCATCTATAATACAAATGACTATTAAGAATATAACGGATATAATACTTATTAGAATTGAATAATGGGATTACACATAATAACTGAATAATTGTTTTCTACAGACATTTAATCAATAAGACTAATGGATTATGTGTGTAAATTTTGAGATAATTTATTAAACATCGAAGACTAGGTTTACTTTAATTTGCTATTCAAATGTTTACAGAACTAAGCTGAATGAATTAAACTATAATTCACTATGGTCAGTTTTAATCTATGCAATTTAAGCAGACGGGAAATCATTTTATTTCATCTCGGTAAATTTTTCATAAAAGTTAGTAATGAAATATTGTTTAAACTGCCTAAAAATTTATTTATTGAGTTAAAGTCGCCATATACAATCAGTTGTTCAATCGTTTCTAGTTAACATGAAATAAAAATGTTATTGTTTCCGGAATAAGAAACAATCTATGAAATAAACAGTCTTGTAGGTATTTTACATTTTTATGAATATAAACCTGAAGCGTACAAGTGAGTTCAGAACGTACCAATCGTTTAAATATAAGAGAATGTTGAACATGTACTTGTTATAAGTTACAATATCAGACATCATATAGGTTGTAAAATTATAAACTTCACAGGTTGAAATCATGAGTCAGTTGAAGCTACACCACCATTGATAACCTGGAAGCACCGGACGGCCGTTTCGTCCTACTATGGGACTCCTCAGCAGTGCGCATCCGCGATCCCGCACCATCCGGGGCTCGAACCCAGGACCTACTGGCTTCATGCGCGAGCACTTAACCATTAGACCACTGAGCCGGCATCCAACGGTGTTAATGTCTATCTTCAACCAATCCACGAAGTTGCGCCACCGAACACCATTGTCTTCAGTGAGTTGTTATCTCACAACAGACCGGTTGAATTCCACTGGTAACGACTTCTCACTAGAACTCCAGGAGTTTTTCCTGAAGTCAGTCACTAGTAAGCACGTGATTATTATTATCAGAATGGGTTTTGTGGAGAGTTTTTAGAAATTTCACGGGTTGAAATCATGAGTCAGTTGAAGCTAGTCCACCATTGAAATCCTGGAAGCACCGGACGGCCGTTTCGTCCTAGTATGGGACTCCTCAGCAGTTGAAGTTAGACATTAACACCGTTGGATGCCGGCTCAGTGGTCTAATGGTTAAGTGCTCGCGCGCGAAGCCAGTAGGTCCTGGGTTTGAGCCCCGCGTGGTGCGGGATCGTGGATGCGCACTGCTGAGGAGTCCCATACTAGGACGAAACGGCCGTCCAGTGCTTCCAGGTTTTCAATGGTGGTCTAGCTTCAACTGACTCATGATTTAAATCTGTGGAATTTCTAAAAAACTCTCCACAAAACCCATTCTGATTATTATAAACTTATTGACCTAGACAATTTAAGTGTATAAATTCATGATATTATTTGAGTATG